CCTGTCGGACCAGTGAGCTCTCCTCTGTCCCCATGCCCCCTCCTCCTCCGCCCGTGGCCCCGCCCCTCCCGGGCTCGGGAGGGTCACCTACGGTCATCTTCACCTCCGGACTCGCAGGTGAGACTCCGTTACCGTGGGCGCAGTGCGTTTGTGGGCTGCGTGGAAATCACAGAATCCTACCGAGAAATTTCGGTTAGAGGCTCAGAAAGTGTCGGCAGCCATCTTGGCGTGGGATGATACTAACCTGTGGTTTGTTTTCTCCTGCTAACAGAGGGTCCACTCAAGTTATTCTGTACGTGCCCTTTTTCTTTACTTCCTCCATCACATGCAAACTGGAAACCAGCCAGCAGCCTCTGATTGGCTGGTTTCTCAGTTGTCAGGGTCACGTGTGTGTTCAGACTGACGCTGAAACAGTCAGTCTGAACACACCGTTCCATCCATTCAGAGTGTGCACCTGTTTCTCCTCACCTGTCTACCTGCTCACCTGTACACCTGTCCCCTGCAGCGGTGAAGATAAAAAAGCCAATCCAGACCAAGTTCAGGATGCCGGTGCTAAACTGGGTCGCTCTGAAGCCCAGTCAGATCAACGGAACCGTCTTTAACGATATCGACGATGAATCCATCCTACAGGTAGAAAAACACATTGCTGCAGAGCAGACTGCAAGGCAACAGCCAAGGACAGAAAACTGTCTCTCACCTGTCTAACCCTCACCTGTCTAACCCTCACCTGTCTGACTCTCAGGACCTGGATGTCGAGGAGTTTGAGGAGATGTTTAAGACAAAGGCTCAGGGTCCAGCTGTGGATCTGACTCTGTCCAGGCAGAAGCTTCCTCAGAAAGCTCCGTCCAAAGTCTCTCTGCTGGAGGCCAACAGAGCCAAAAACCTGGCCATCACTCTGAGGAAGGCCGGCCAGGGGTCAGAGGTCATCTGCCGCGCCATTCACACGTAGGTCAACCTGCACCAGTAAANGCTCTAGTCAGATCTCCTCATGGTCCATAGTCCTTCCATGTCTTAATGATGGGTTTAACTGGACTCCAGAGATGTTCAGGAACTTGGAGATGTTCTGGTATCGTCTCCTGACTGATGCTTCTCAGCAACCTTTCCCAGAGTTCTTGGAGGGTTCTTCAGTCTTCATGGTATAGTTCTAACCAGGAGTACTGATCCACCAGAGACTGGACCTTCCAGATACACAAGTCTTTATACTACAATCACTGAGACTCATTCACTGACCTCAGATGATGCGTTCACGGACTGTGGGACTTCTACACCACCTGGCTGAGGTACATTAGAGTCACTTTATAGGAGGTCCGTCCTGATCGATCAGTGATTTTATATTTTATATTTACTGACATTATTTTGCAGAGATCTGCTTCACTTTGACCTGAAAGAGTCTTTTTTGGTTAATTCTTGTCAAAAAGCCAAATTCAATCGACCACGATTCAGTGCTGAGAGGCTTTAAAAGGAGGAAACTTCCAAGAAGGGCGACGACTTCTTACAGGTTCTGGATACTGGACTGGGTCCAACTTTCACATTTTTCAACGCCTGGATGGATGTAGAACTGATCTGGTGTCAGGTTCTAGCAGAACCCAGATGTGTTCTTCCTCCTAAATGTCATGTGTCTATCTGCGGGACTGATGAAGTTCTGAGGCTCAGAAATGATGGAAACAGTCCACTGAAGAACAGCAGATCTGGACCCACCTCAGTGGTTCTGTAGAACCTTGAGCGGTCCAAAAAGAACATGCAGCGTCTCTAGAAACTGTATCTGAAGGTGAAAGTATTTGTGTTTCAGAACTCGATGAACCTGCCGCCCGACAAGGTGCGTCTGCTGCGTTCCTATGACAACGAGAAGAAGTGGGAGCTGATCTGTGATCAGGTGAGTGGTGTCAATAAAGTCCGGCTTTGAATCTGCGCCCACCTGAAGGTGCAGGTGGGCGGAGCCTCGTGTGTCACCGTCCAATCACGTGGTGTGTCTGTGTGCGATGCAGGAGAGGTTCCAGGTGAAGAACCCTCCTCACACCTACATCCAGAAGCTCAGAGGGTTCCTGGACCCGGCCGTGACCCGCAAGGTGAGCTGGGAAATGGAGTTCACTGTCTGTCTGTTACTGACCCGCCTCTCTGTCTGTCTGTCTGTCTGTTATTAACCCATCTCTCTCTCTGTCTGTCTGTCCACAGAAGTTCAGACGAAGAGTTCAGGAGTCAACTCAGATGCTCAGAGAGCTGGAGATCTCTCTACGTACAAACCACATCGGGTACCTGTCTCTCTCTTACCTGTCTNGAGTTAGTTTGAGTTGGTTTGAGTTAGTTTGAGTTGGTTCGAGTTGGTTTGAGTTAGTTCGAGTTAGTTTGAGTTAGTTTGAGTTAGTTTGAGTTGGTTTGAGTTGGTCTGTATGGAGAACCTGAAGTCAGCCGTCCATGTCGTCGGTGCAGGTTTGACCTCCGGACGGTTCGGGTCGACTTTGTTGAGTGTCTGATGCGGTTCTTACCGACGGAGGCCGAAGTGAAGCTGCTGCGGCAGTACGAGAGAGACAGAAAGCCTCTGGAGGCTCTGAGCGACGAAGACCGATTCATGATGCAGTTCAGCCGCATCGAGAGGCTCAGCCAGCGCATGTCCATCATGACCTTCATGGGCAACTTCACCGACAACGTTCAGATGTTGACTCCGGTAAGACCGACACTGACAGACGGACACGGACGGACGGACAGATGTGACCCGTCTCACCATGTTGTGTTTCTTTGCAGCAACTCCACGCCATCATCGCTGCTTCAGTTTCTATTAAATCCTCCCAGAAGCTCAAGAAGATCCTTGAGGTCAGTGTGTTGCTGTATGGCATCCAGATATATCTATGTGGTGTGATTCTATGTGATGTGATTCTATGTGGTGTGATTCTATGTGATGTGATTCTATGTGATCTGATTCTGTCTGATGTTGCTGCAGATCATCTTGGCTCTGGGAAACTACATGAACAGCAGCAAGAGAGGAGCCGTGTACGGATTCAAACTACAGAGTTTAGACCTGGTAACACACGACAACACACGACAACACACGACAACACACGACAACACACGACAACACACAACAACACACTGTAACACACTGTAACACTCCCACCTATCAGTCGATGATCAGATATTGATCCAGGATCGCTGCTCACACTCTAATTTAGACGTTCTGAAATGATTGTTGTCAGGAAACACAAACCCGTCGCCACGGTCACCGCATCCCTGACTGACTGTGTGTGTTTGTGTGCAGCTCCTGGAGACAAAGTCGACCGACAGAAAGCAGACGCTGCTTCATTACATCGCCAACGTGGTCAGAGAGAAGTACTCTGTGGTGTCTCTGTTCTACAACGAGCTCCACTACGTCGACAAGGCTGCTGCAGGTGAGTCTGTCGGCCAATCAGGTCGCAGCACGCAGCAAACTGTGTGTTCACCTGTGTGTGTTCACCTGAGTGTGTTCACCTGATTGTGTTCACCTGAGTGTGTTCACCTGTGTGTGTTCACCTGAGTGTGTTCACCTGATTGTGTTCACCTGATTGTGTTCACCTGATTGTGTTCACCTGATTGTGTTCACCTGATTGTGTTCACCTGTGTGCAGTGAGTCTGGAGAACGTGCTGTGTGATGTGAAGGAGCTGCAGCGAGGGATGGAACTCACCTGGAGAGAGTTCAGCGTGTCGCACAACGCCACGCTCAAAGACTTCATCAGCAGGAACGAATCACGGCTCAGCAAACTGCAGGAGGACGCTCGCATCGCTCAGGTGAGACAGCACGCCGTCGCCTGTCACGTCCAGACAGGTGAGCTCGGTTTGCTCAGGTGAACTCGCCTGTACAGGTGTGTTTCAGCAGCCTGGTGCAGACGTTTCACAGACTTCAGCTGTCAGATCAGAGAGCACAACGCTGAAGGGTTCACGTGTTTCATATCAAACATGTCAGAAGACCTCCGTGTCCCAGTCTGAAACCTGCTCTTAGTAACACGCAATACTGTGTGTGTGTGTGTGTGTGTGTGTGTGTGTGTGTGTGTGTGTGTGTTCAGGACGCCTTTGAAGATGCGGTGAAGTTTTTCGGTGAGAGCTCCAAGACGATGCCCCCGTCAGTCTTCTTCCCCATCTTTGTTCGCTTCATCAAAGCCTACAGGGTGAGTGGCACCAACTGTCAGGCCACGCCCCCTCCCACAGTGGGTGTGGCCTACAGGGCAGAGGCTCCTCCCACATCCTGACTGCAGCGTTTATTTTTGACACAACTTTGACACAATTATCGAGCACGAAACAAAACAAGGATGAACACAAAGTGTGTGTGTGTGTGTGTGTGTGTGTGTGTGTGTGTGAAGCTGGCGGAGGAGGAGAACGAGCAGCGGCGGCGTCAGGAGCAGATGTTGTTGGAGAAGCTGGAGCAGGAGGAGCAGCAGCAGGAGGAGGAGGAGACCAAGGTGAGTCCTGACACACCTGCTGCATCATCATCATCAGCGCAGCCTCTGATTGGTCTGACTAACGTGAAGCCCCTCCCCCTCCCAGTCTCCGTCCCACAGGGGGAAGCGGCAGCAGCAGGAGCTGATCACGGAGCTCCGACGGCGACAAGGAAAAGACAGCCGCCATGTTTACGAGGGGAAGGACGGCGCCATCGAGGACATCATCACAGGTAAACGTGTCAGGTGTCTGTGTGTGTGTGTCTGTGTGTGTCTGTGTGTGTGTGTTTGGTGTGTGTGTCTGTGTGTGTCTGTGTTTGTGTGTCTGTGTGTGTGTGTTTGGTGTGTGTGTGTGTGTTGTGTCTGTGTGTGTGTCTGTGTGTGTCTGTGTGTGTCTGTGTCTGTGTGTTGTGTGTGTGTTTTGTGTGTGTGTGCGTGTGTGTGTGTGTTTTGTGTCTGTGTGTGTTTTGTGTCTGTGTGTGTTTTGTGTCTGTGTGTGTGTTGTGTGTCTGTGTGTTGTGTGTGTGTGCTGACTGTCTGTTGCGTCTTGCAGCTCTGAAGACCGTCCCTTTCACGGCTCGATCGGCCAAACGCAGCTCCCGCTTCTTCTGTGACCCCGCCCACCCCGAGGAGCACTACTGATGACATCACAGAGAGGCCACGCCCACTTCTAATCGATGGGACCAATTAGCACTTTGAACATTTCTGATGGATCGATGTGAACTGATGACATCATGTTTTCTATGTTGTTCTAACGGTCAGTTGGTGCGCAGACCAGGTGCCCAGACACCAGCGGACCGCCGAGCCCCGGGTCAGAACCGTCCCACTCCGTCCCGCCAAACTACACGCAAAAATGTGGCCGATTAAAGTGTCTTAACTGAGAAAAGCAACCCAGTTCTGAAGCTGATCTACAGGATCAGGTGAACATCTTGAGCTTGTGATGGACTCACATGGTGCTCCTCAGCAGACGGACGAGCCCGGCTGCTGAACTCCTGGTGTTCAGGTTCACCGATTCTCACAGCACTTTAAGGGAACAAAAGTCAATTCTTAAATTACAAGAAAGGGGAACTTGAACATCTACAGCTGGACATCTGAGGAACATCGTGTTTGTGGTCACAAGTCCAGAGTTCAGAGCCTGAACGTTCCTGAAACAACAGAAATAAATCAACAAGTAAATTAAGGGAAGCTGTGACCAGAACCTCCAACCATCACGGTGCTAGAACCCCCTGATGTTCCTCACAGCGCCCAAACTGTGCCTCGTTTTTTAAAAATAAGTCCACCACTGGTGGCGCCGTAGAGCAGCATCCCCATGAGTCGGGTTCTGGTGTTTTATGTTGGACCAGAACCCGGACACGCCTTTTTAAATCACATGAGGGCTAACAATGGTTAAACATCCCGACACACCTCAGCGGCTTCAGAGTCCTGGTTCTGGGTCAGCAGGTCTGTGGTTCTCTTGTTGTTCTGGGTTCCTTTGGTCTGTGTCTTTAACTGGGTCTTGTACAGGGTTCTACTCCTTTCACTACATTGTGTTCTACTGTGTTCTACTGTATTTATTCGCCTTATGGAGCCAGGATACACAGAGTCTGGCAGTTTACAAACCAGGAACAGTGTTAGCACAAATCATTCAGAACCACGTGGAACTGACTGAAGCATACCTGACTGACGGAACCACGTCCTCCTGACGGAACCACGTCTGACTGACAGAAACACATCCGACTGACAAGACCGTGTCCTACTGATGGAACCATGTCTGAACAACAGGAACGCGTCCCAACTGACAGAACCACGTCCCACTGATGGAACCGTGTCCGACTGACAGAACAATGACCGACCGATGGAGACGGAACCACGTCAGCCTGTTGTTGGAGCCAAACTCTGTTTATCTGTGACTCTCAGTCCCTTCAGAACATTTCTGCACCCGTCAGCAGCAGAGCCGCACCAGCAGGAACCCACAAACTGCCAGTGAGTCGCTTCAACATACAAACGTTAAATTCTTGCGTCACTGTGTTTGGAAAAGCGTCGGCTGAAGTGCACAGCTGCAGTTTGAGGTGTCACACTGTGGGGGCGCTGTGGACTCCTCACAGTGGGTCTGCTGGTGAGGCTCTGGACTCACCTGGACACACCTGCCCGGACTGAGCCGCGGTGTTGTCCTTCAGTGTTTCTGGCGTTCCTGTTCTCCTGGGGATAGTCCGGCCCGAGCAGTCAACACCGCACCGCCCTCCCCGTCCTGAAACCCTCCCTCACTCCCCTTTATTTTAAATCAAAACAAGAAAAGAAATCAGCAGCACAAAGTTTTCTACGTGTACAGACATTTTCTAGGAAGCTGTGTAGCGATGCTCGTCCTGTCTGGTGTTTGTTGGTGTTGGTGGTGATTCTGCACTTGGTGTGTAAATAAAGCGCACCCTGTCAACATGACCCGTCTCTGTTTATTCATTAACTGATGCACCACATTACCCAGAATCCTCCACGGGAAACTTCCATACGCAAAATCCAACTGTTCTCAGACTCTGATTGGCTGTCCAACATCATGTCATATTTTCCATGTTTCTGATTGGCTCGTGGGTTACAACAGGTGCGATTCGTCTGAAGCACTTATTAGTAAAGTTATTGATCCGGTTGATAATGATCAGTACATAAAGTTAGTTGGTCATTTAGTGCAGGTGATCTGCGCTGTGATTGGATGGCTGGAGTTCGGTGCCAGGTCGAGTCTCCGCCTCCTGGAGATCATCCAGAGAAGGAGTGTGAAGGTCGGCCTTTGACCCCGAGTCCTCTCACCTGTACACACACACACACAGTCGGTCAGCAGGTGCTGCCACGCTGACCTCAGGTAACCAGCAGGTGAGCGGCTGACTCACCCTGAAGGTGTTTCCTGCCAGCGGCTGCTGTTTGATCTCTGATTGGTCGAGGCCCAGGCTGGCGGAGGTCACGTAGAGGTCGGTGTAGTCTGGACCTCCAAAACAGCACGAGGTGGTCTTTGTGACGGGGAGGGAGACCGTCTGCAGCCGCACACCTGCCAGAACACAACAGGTACGGGCCATCAGCACCATGGTAGAGCAACAGCAGAACCAGCTTAACCAGCAGAACCAGTACGACCAGTTTAACCAGCAGAACCAGT